GAGCTTGTAGCAGGGAGGAGCGAACAGCACATGGTAAGTTGTTACTGCAAGTGTCAACATTAAACATTAACACAAACATTAATTGGTAAACAGTTTATTTACTGATTTGAATAAATGTTAGCTGGCAACTAGTTAACTTTTAATATAGTTTGGATTGACATGCTTAGATATTGCAATATAAAAGCTGCTTCTGTTGGTTGCTTGCCTGAGAAGGCGTTAGTGGGCGTTCCTAGTGCTGTCGCTCCAGTGTTATTGTATCTGGATATACTGTATATTTAGAAAATGCGATTACAAATTGTATATTTTGCCGGAAAACTACTATATCATTTTAATTTGAATATTTATTATGGATAATTATTTCACTTATGCATGCATGTCATTTGTTATGTTTATACTACATCTGTTCATTTCTTAAAGCACATGAAGGCCTTTCCCCAAATTTCAATTAGCTCTGTAACAAACGGAATCTTAAAACTCATTTTTTATAGCAATATTTTGCCATAGAGAACTTACTCTACCAGTCAAACGTTTGGAATAATTAAGATGCATAATTAAGAAGTCTATATTTATTTGATCAAAAGAAAAAGAAAGATACTGAGAAATATTAAAATTTAAAATAACCTTTTTCAGTTATTTTAATATATATTGTAAAATGTTATTTATTCTTCCTCCCACAGATACCAATACAATATGCTGATTTGGAGCTCAGTTTCTTAAAACACTTTTTGCTGCCTTTTGTGTAACTTTTGTGGAAACTACAAAACACTACCATTCAAAAGTTTGGGGTGTGTAAGATAAAAAAGAAAGAAAGAAAAGGAAATAAACTCTTCTATTCAACAAGGAAACATTAAATTAAAAGGATTCACAAAAGATTTACGTTTCAAATAAATGCTGTTCAGTCTTCAAAGTATCCTGAAATAAATTGTGTCCACAAATATTTTTAGCAGCGAAAACTTTCATAATAGAATCATTATTTATAATTAAGAACCAATAATAATTGATAATAACTGAACACCAAATCAGAATGCTTTCAGAAGGATCATGTCACATTGAAAACTGGAGTAATGGCTGCTGAAAATTCTGCTTCGCATCACATGAATAAATTAAATTGTAATAATAGTTCACAGTATTACTGTTTTACTGTATTTTTAAACAAATAAATGCAGCCTTGGTTATCATAAGAGACTTCTTTCAAAAACATTAGAAAACTGCAATTATTCCAAACTCTTGACCAGTACATTTCAGGATCCTGTCTGGTACCCCACCAGAGATAATCAGCCTGAAAGTGTGGGGTGTTTTAAAATGATTGCATTTCCCACCCCCATAACAAATAAAAATTCTCAAACCTGAAATATTCTGCATGCACACTATACTGTACCTACCTAGCAAACCCTAAAAAAAAACTTAGAACTGAGAATTGAACCCTTGTGGTCTCAGAGGTAATTAATACATGGTATATGCTTTTGTTGAAGCCATCTCTTTTCATTATTTCAACTTCTTTTTAAAATAATCATGTTTGACAGCGTAATTTGTGGCGAACACCCTCTTCCACAAAGTACTGCGGTCATGGCTTTGATTTCCAGGGAAACTAAAAACTGATAAACTGTATACCTTGACTGCAATGCAGTTCTTTTGGATAAAAGTATTTGCTAAATGCACAAATGTAAAAAAAAATAATAAATAATAATAATTAATTTAGCAGACGCTTTTATCCAAAGCAAAATGCTTCCGTAACTAATGCCACTGAAATGTGGACGTGCACTAATAAACACATATTTAAGATTAAAGAGGAGTAAAGTTCAGTAACCTCTAATGCTGCCTTGTCGGATTTGGTGAATGTGTTCACATCAGACCAAACTACTTTATAGGGTATAAAATTAAGAGTTAAGTTAAGTAAGTTCTGGCAGCCCATAGAACAGCTTACGGGAAAGTTATGAAATTTGGTACACATATAGAGGACAGTCTCAACATTAACCATAGCAAGTTTGGAGTCTCTAACGCAAACCCTCTAGCGCCACCAACAGTTCAAAGTTGCACTCATGTTTATGTTAAAAACTTTTGAACTGTAAAATCTAGAAGTAAAATTCTTTATTTTCCTCTGATTCCATGGCTCATGCAAGTCGAATACATACTGAAGTTAAAATTTGAACAGGTCAAGATTTTTCACAATTTTTTTTTATCCAAAAAAACAACAACAACTTTTCAAACTCATCCTAGTGGGTTTGTCTGATTTTCAGCAAAATTCTTAGAATTCAAATAATCTTCAGACCATGCTAGTAAAAAGTTAAGGAATTCAAGTGACTTAAACCGTTGTCGAATAACCTATGAATGAATTTGATGGAGAGAACTCCAAAATGGATGTGAGGCTATATCTCCACAATGCTTTGGCATATGTGAAACAAACTTGGTGTGTGTTATAACAACCATGTCCTGATGATATCTTCGGCACAGCACCACATAGTGGTCAGGAGATATGACAAATGGCTATTTTTTGTTTCTGAACAGATTGGCTGAAAATCACAATACCGGGTCAAATGATATCCAATTCAGTCCAATCAGCCATTCCGGGCATCTGCCATGGATTTCATGTCGATAGACAAAGTGGTTTTCATTTACTGCATCAATAAATTTCATGCTGTAATACCAAACTGCATCTGAGGCTGTATCTCTGCAAAGCTTTGACATGTTGACGCCAAACTTTGTGTGCCATTGTAACCTCACACTGACCACACCACATTAATTTGGTGACCACGCCACCTATTTGTCAAAAATTATAAACCTGTAAGTCATATTACTAGTGACTGTATTTATGATTTTCAACCATTTTGACTGAAATCATCTTAAAATAGCTTAAACTACTCCTTGTTTCAGTTGGTCTGATGCTCCTTACCATGCTTAGCTCCTCTGCTTGCAGCTATATTTTTATTAATGTTTTATGATGCACAAAAACAATCATAATGATAAAACACAAACTTACACTCATAATGGTCTAATAAGATCATTTCTTGAAGTAAATGATCCTGTTTTACAGCAGCCAGTGTGCATGAGTGCCAGGCATGTTTATAGGGTGATTTAATGAACAGTACCCATTAGTTATATATTTCTCAAGGTCACCAATTTCACCTCCTTCTGATATATAATAACAGGGCACCTGTGTTAGTTCATTTCAGTGTATGCTATAAGGAATTTGTTGTTTTTGTTGGGTTATTTGAATGAAGCTACATTTACTACCTTCACACACTCTTTACCTTTTCAGCAGAACGAAATTAAGTGCAAGTTAAGGCTCCCCTGGACACTTCACATTTAGAGACAATAAAGGTATGTCTGCTTTTACATCTCTGAGAGACTACATAGAGTATTTGTACTTTTAAAAATTCATGTCACACTGCAGGACGATTTAAGTGAATTACAAAAAGGAAATAAAAATTGTGGAAATAGTTATTTTAGTATGTTATCTTTATGTTTTTTGTTAACATTTTTATAAACACCATGGTTTGACAGTACTAGTTATTGTTGTACTCACCCACTAAATTAAATTTAAAATTGGTGTTAGTTATGTCATAGTTGTGATTTGCTAAAGAGCGTTTGATTGGACAAAAAATCAGCTGAAAAATATAAATATAAATAGCAGGGAATGTAGGGCAGGATGAGGCATCAGTGTTTCTGGTCTGTTTTACCTGAAGAAAGAAGCTCTGCATTTTGCCAACGCTAGCATATAAATATTATTCTACAATCTGTTGTTTAAGTAAAACTGTTATTTGGCACATAACTATGTATGATGGCAGACACATCCTCCATGAAATTTAATCACAGACTTTGGTTACATTTTGCTTTCTTGCTGAACTCTCTGTCAGTTCTTTAGAATAAATTGTATTATATTATACTCCTTATATTCACCACTGATTTAGACTAAGTTTTAAATTCTGATGTTTTAGATATACTTTATGGATTAATGTCTGTTTATTTATGTGTTTCCCTACAGAAGAGGGGTGTGTTTGGACCACACAGTGTTCAGGGACATGTGGATGGATGTACTGATGGTCATCCGCTGATGGACAGGTAAGACTTCTAACTTATGTTTGTGTTTTGGTGTGTACTAAACATGTAGGTTACCATCATTTTCTTTTTGGAGGGTGACTCCTCTGGAAAGCAAATGATGGTAACCTAAACGGGTGGGGAAGGGACGGCGGTTCAAAATTTTTATACAGCTAAAATATTTTTCAGTCTGTCAAGAAGTATAACCCCTGCTGGACATCGTGCCGGGGCTCGGGGGGGACCCGAATCATCCCCACTCCTTCATTCACACAACACTCACTCATATCACAGAGATCTGGCTGGGATTGAACCAGCAACCTCTGAACCATGAGGCAGCGCTCTAACCTGTGAGCCACAGATCTCTTTTCTGAACATGTGAAGGAACCTATATTTCACTATTCACCTGCATGTGATGTTACAATAAATCAGTCAAAGCTGTCAGTTGTCTGAACACACTGAGGTGGGATTTGAACCCGTGCCTCAATCACAGCCTTATCATCTGAAAGCATGTGCTTAACCACTAACCCACTGTGGCTTTTACATTTTGTCTTGCACGTGAAATAGGATTTAACAAACATGTGTTCTGCCGCTTGCACCATCATAGCTTCCATGCTGAATGTTGGTGTTTGGGGCACTTTGTTGAACATGACAACAAGACATATCAAACATAACCAATTGTGGGATTTGAACTCAGGTCTTCATGATGAAAGCCCAGTGCTTTAACTACTGAGTCTGTTGTTTTGATTTAGATTTTTTTTTGGGAGCTTTGTTTTTTTTGACCGAAAACTAAAGCAATTGTAGGGTTCAAACCCAGACTTTCATACTTGATGGCAAATGCGTATCCTCTGCTCCACAGAGTTTGTGATGAAGCCAGATTTGTTTTAGATAGTTTAAGATAGGGAAATAATTACTGCAACTGTGAGATATGAACAGGTCTCTGTATACTGAGCTTGAAGGGCATACAAGAATCTTGGAAAGCCTGTAGTTTAGTAGTTTATGCGTGTTTACACTTTGATCATGTGCTTTTGAGTTCAACACAACATTTAATCAGTTTAACCTGAGAGCTGATGAGCTGATCAGGTGCATTTAGATAAACTGACAGATCCACGTTTCTCTGCTGGTTGTGACAAAGTATTAGATTTGTTGTAAAATACATGCAACTTAAATCTAAGACTGGCCACCTTGTCGTTTGTCGTTTTAATGAAAGCTGATAGATGTGTTGGGGAGAGGGAGGGAGCAGATGTCTGAGTCTGCTGGTAAGTGAGACTGAAGCGCAGTTGTTCCTCCGCTCCACTAGGCGGCGGAAGCGGCTTCACGTTCGGTCTGAGCGCTTCGGATGAGTGACAGAAGGACGCTTGTTGTGACAGCATGTGCAGACCGTTTAAAATACAGATCCTGCAGATGACAGCTCAGCGACAGTGTTTTTAATCTCATTAAACAGCATCTATTCCAGCACATAAACAAACAAAACCGACCCCCGCTGCGATAAAGTGCAGGAGTCGAGAGTCACTGTAAGTAACTCCACACATGCAGTGCTTTTCTCTTGCACTAACCATTTCAACTGTTACTCTTTGCACTTAAGTCGTTATTTACTTTAATAGCCAAGTATTTCAGTTTTGATGTGTCTTTATTTCTTCTGATATGTTGTCGCGGTGCTCCGCTGCCAGTTTTATGTTATGTTATGATTTATGTTATGATGAATTTCATGTGTTGTTTTTAATGTGTCTCCTCGCGCACACTAAAGCACAAACTAGAAATAGACAGCTTGCTATTTGACAACTAAGTATGTATTAATGTAGTTGTTCACATGCGTATGTATTTATGTACTATACATATACTAACTTTAAAATGCTGATGGTTTAGATGTACTATATAAAGTAATGTCTGTTTATTTCTCTCTTTCCTCTACAGAGTAAGGGATGTGTTTGAACAGAAGCGGAGCTCTGGGACGTGTGGACAGACTTTCACTGTAATGATGGACATCCGCTGATGGACAGGTAAGACTTCTAACTTGTGTTTGTGTTTTGTTGTGTACTAAACATGTAGGTTACCATCATTTTCTTTTTGGAGGGTGACTCCTCTAGAAAGCAAATGATGGTAACCTAAACGAGTGGGGAAGGGACAGCAGCTCAAAATTTTAATACAGCTAAAATATTTTTCAGTCTGTCAAGAAGTATAACCCCTGCTGGACATCGTGCCAGGGCTCGGGGGGGACCCGAATCATCCCCACTCCTTCATTCACACAACACTCACTCATATCACAGAGATCTGGCTGGGATTGAACCAGCAACCTCTGAACCATGAGGCAGCACTCTAACCTGTGAGCCACAGATCTCTTTTCTGAACATGTGAAGGAACCTATATTTCACTATTCACCTGCATGTGATTTTACAATAAATCAGTCAAAGCTGTCAGTTGTCTGAACACACTGAGGTGGGATTTGAACCCGTGCCTCAATCACAGCCTTATCATCTGAAAACATGTGCTTAACCACTAACCTACTGTGGCTTTCACATTTTGTGGCACTTTGTTGGATTTAACGACGACAATTTAAAGTAAGCAATAGTGAGATTTGAACTCGGGTCTTCTAGATGAAAGTCCAGTGTTTTATCCACTGCAGCTGTTCTGAAACTCACTGAAAACGAGTGCGTTGGACATGTTTGTATTGAGAGCTCTGTTGTAAAGGATGTCAAACATAAGCAACAGTGGGTCTGAACATGTGAAGGAACCTATATTTCACTATTCACCTGCATGTGATGTTACAATAAATCAGTCAAAGCTGTCAGTTGTCTGAACACACTGAGGTGGGATTTGAACCCGTGCCTCAATCACAGCCTTATCATCTGAAAGCATGTGCTTAACCACTAACCCACTGTGGCTTTCACATTTTGTGCTTAGCTTTTGTGGCACTTTGTTGGATGTAACGACGACAATTTAAAGTAAGCAATAGTGAGATTTGAACTCGGGTCTCCTAGATGAAAGAGGAATGCATTATTCACTGCACCTGTTGAGTTGAAGTGAGTTTTATTGAGGGATTTGTATGATGTTATGAAGAACTGTAATTTGCAGGGTTTGAACCAAGACGCTCACATTTGAAAGCAAGCGATTATCCTCAGCGCCACAGAGTTTGTGACAACAGGTTTTACTGAGAACTTTGTTTTATATGATGGAAAGCAACTAACACATTAACTGACTTCCAGAGTTTGTGTGAAGTCAGGTCTCCGTGATTTAAGTGCAATGCTTTATCTCCTGAGCCACCGAGTCTGTGCAGCTGTCAGGTGTTTGGGATGGAGTTTTATTTAGAGCTGTCTTTCACATGGATGAATAGTGTATTGTATTAAATAAGCAGTTGTGGCAATAAATAAATAAATGAATAAATACATAAATCCAATCAATGTATTAACAAACTGTCAGCTGTCTGAACACACTGAGGTGGGATTTGAACCCGTGCCTCAGTTACAGCCTTATCATCTGAAAACATGTGCTTAACCACTAACCCACTGTGGCTTTTACATTTTGTCTTGCACGTGAAATAGGATTTAACAAACATGTGTTCTGCCGCTTGCACCATCATAGCTTCCATGCTGAATGTTGGTGTTTGGGGCACTTTGTTGAACATGACAACAAGACATATCAAACATAACCAATTGTGGGATTTGAACTCAGGTCTTCATGATGAAAGCCCAGTGCTTTAACTACTGAGTCTGTTGTTTTGATTTAGATTTTTTTTTGGGAGCTTTGTTTTTTTTGACCGAAAACTAAAGCAATTGTAGGGTTCAAACCCAGACTTTCATACTTGATGGCAAATGCGTATCCTCTGCTCCACAGAGTTTGTGATGAAGCCAGATTTGTTTTAGATAGTTTAAGATAGGGAAATAATTACTGCAACTGTGAGATATGAACAGGTCTCTGTATACTGAGCTTGAAGGGCTCATTTTTGTTACATGGAAACATTAACAAATGTGGCATTTGATCCAAGACTTAAATACAAAAAAAGTCTGAAAAGCAAAAATGTAGTCTCTGAACAATGGAGTATGTGATAATGAGGTATTTCAATAATATGAGCTTTGACTTTTATTGTTTTTCAAGCTTTGCCAGTTTTAAGAACATAAGTCAATTCATTTCTAGCAGAATGACTATGTACAGGACTTTTTGTATTTATTGACATTGGATTCAAACCGGTCTACATGAGCCAATTTATGTGTATTAGAGATTGTCACATCTCAATGTGCCACACCCACAGCTATCCTTTTATAAAACAACTAAGGTATGTGATTTTTGCATCCTTTCAACTAAAAACGCATTAATTATTCACAGCTGGAAGATGTGTGTTGTGTGTTGTGTTTTTTATGAGATTTTACAGAGCAAGATGCTGATATCAAATGAGTCATGAGTGGAATATTGTATCAAATAAGATGTTATGGCATGAAGTGAGAGTATTATTCTAATCAATTTATAAAATCATAGTCATACCAAAATAAAAGCCTATAATTAATTTCAACTTTGAGATGAATAACTTATTTTGAACAACAGAATCAACCCCCCTCTCTAAAACCATAATTTTGATAGTTTCATATATGTATGCAAAATATCACAAAGCAAATCATAAAAAAAAAAAGAATACACATTTTAAAAAGTGAATCTGGCTTTGTAACTAAATCATGTTTATATAATTGTGTGTAATTCACAGGCTCTACAGGCAGGTGGCAGGTTAAATAAGTACCTGACAGTATTGCAAGTAGGAGGAACCATTGAATCTGCAGCTGTGTCAGGTCAGAAAATTTCTCAGGATTTAGTAGCATGAAACTCTAATAATTGCTTCTAACCAATAAAACTTGTATCCAATCATCTGATTCTTTTCCAATACTAATATGAACATGCCACATATTTAGTCAACATATATAACAAAAATGTGTTCCTGGGTTACAAAATGCAGTTGTTGTTGTTGTTTTTTTCCCGTAAATGTCAAGATCAGTGCCAGTATCTGATGAGTTCAGGCACAGCTGAGACCGCAGAAACACTATCTAGGGCACTGGAATGTGTGCAGCACTAAAAGTGAGCAAAGCTTTCAGCTGGAACAATGCATGTCTTCAAGAGCTATAAAATCACCCTCTGGAGAAGTTCCCTCAGTCTTTTTGTGTTTGTGCACCCTTTTTCAATCCTGCTGTCAAGTTACTGCCCCCTTTAAAAGCATCTGGATGACTTGAACCAGGCTAAAATTTGGACAACCTCAGATTCTCACACCTGACCTGAAAATCTAGATGATATACAAGATTTACATGCAGTGCAGAAATGTATGGTCTACATAAATGGCAGATATCTGAGTGAGTTGTCTGATATCGAGAGATTACGTTTCTGTACAAATCTGGGCATATAATAGATTTCTCCAGAGTGGAAAGAGGTCACGGGGCAGGTGTACATCGTCCACAGGCTGGGGGTAAAACGACGGGTCAGCGCATCAGCCAACCTTAAGCGCAGGTTGCAGCTCGAGCACACAATGTGGTTTGGACAGCAGGACTGCGAGGGAGTCCGCTTGGGTTGGTTAGAGGAGGACCGATTTTTGGAGGTTAGAGGCAGTGCCGAAGCAGGTGTTTTGATGGCACTTCGGTCTCTGAGGCGGTCCAGGGATCTTCTCAACTCTTGCTGTGCACCTTGTACCCCAGCCAGCTTCCGCTGATACTGCACATCTAGCGCATGTAGGGTCCGTACAAGCTGCAGGCTCTGACGCCGCTGTGCATTAGCCAGGGAACGCTCTGAGATTGACATGAAATAACAACAAAACATTTTTTATAAACTAGCCCTTATTGGACATTACTTTAAGCATTTGACCTACAACACAATGCACTTGTCAGAAATGGAAAATAATACAGTAATGTATTAATTAGCATATTCATTTTGATACCTCGTTCATTGTGTCTTTTCCTTCTTGACAGAGAGATGAAATTGGACATGCCACGCTCGTCTGGAAGAGATGAAGATATGCAGGATCCAGTGACAATTCCTGAAAAGTTGAGAGCTCATATCATGTTTTACCTTTCATATAAAGTGAACAGTGTAGCACTAAATTCACAGCTTTTTTGGGGGGGAAAAATATGCATATACTATATTTATATATTTTTAGGTTTACATATACAAATCACAAATATATCAGACACTTATACGTACATTTTGGAAAATTAAGAAACTGATAAATACATTAATGTATTTACTCACCCATGGATGTTGCAACAAGCATTTACTCTTTGGTAGTATCCAAATATAATATCCCACCAAGACTATTTTTGTGAATACACACACTTTTCTTCTCTTTTTCAATCGAAAGATGGCGTGAAAAAGGCTTCTGAAAGTGAGAAAGTCTGTTTTGGTAGCCTAACTTATATAAAGCGACAGCATCTCTTCTGAAGGATCGAAACAAAGGATTTGGAGGGGCCAAGTAAGAAAGGAGTGGGCAGAACTAATGAGAGAAAGGCAACTCCTCTTAAACTTTACAAAAGAATACAGAAAATAAAAGTAAAATAAAATCTACTTTGCTAGCCAAAAAATAGTATAGTCAAAAATGTAGCATCAAAAGTGTTAAATGTGAATAATAGCATTTAAATGCTTCACATTAAATTTCAAATAAAATTAAAATAAAGCACAAAAACATTAGCCAGTTTTCATGCACTTCTTTAATATATCAGTTTTTCATATTCACAACAAATACATTAAGCTCTTTTTCCTTTTATATAATACAGTCTTAAATATTTTTACACAGAAATATGTTCTCAGAATTTCATCTTTAAAAATGTATTTTCTTAACCTTTATTTCTTAAGTTGAAACATTTGAAGTCATTTAATTGTTTTTTATCTCCATGCCTCTTAGCAAATGGACAGAACTTTTTGTGTACATTTGGGGGGGGGGGGGGGGGGGGGGGTTAAAGTGCAGGCAAGGCAACAGAAAGGAATGTGATACGGACGTTTTTGGTGAAGCAAATAAAATGGGGTTTGGGGAGTGAAAGAAAAATGGTTTTAGAGAATATATATATATATATATATCTCCGACTTGTAATTAAGCAGGTCCCCAAGTATTCCAGTCAAGAAGGATCAATCCTTCACAAGTCCGACCTCGGTAACATTCCCATAGAAAATAAATAGAGCATTCTTAAAATACACCTCTACCATCTCCATACGCAAACCCATGTTAGGTTTGTCAGCTTACTCTGAGAACAAGTCCATTCAAACGTCTCGTCAAAAACTATACATGTGAAAACAGTGACCACTGTCACGACCGAAAGGATCCGTGGAGCTCCTCTCTCCTTAATGGCAAGTTTAAGTGGCGGAACCAATTCACAGAGCATCGTTCTTATAAAAATAATCAAAAGGAGAACCAAAATAAATAATTAAATCCATCTCAACAGAAGCAAGAAGATGGGGTGCTTGTCCTCGCTTTTGTAACAGAGCACGAGTGGCGAACCAAGCGCAGAGCCTCGGTTATCTGTGCAACATCAAGCATTTTATGGAAAAGAAAGCAAAAATGTGTCATTCCCTATGAGGAAAAAAAAGGAGGCGGGGCCACTCCTTTCACTTAGAAGAGGCCGAAATAACGAACAGCATCCCTACGAGGCCACTTCCACCATCCACAGTGTCTAGGTGAACTTCAGGGCTACACAGTGCTGGTGTCACTACAGCCCAAAGCTATGCTAGAAGGTTGACGCAGAAGTCTTTGGACCAACTTGAAACAAAGAATCGCACTTTGCGAACAGGAAGCCTTTTGAGTCATAGGGTGAATCGATTTGGTCGAAGATCCAGATAACCATTCTCCGGCAATGACGAAGGTGGACACAGATGGCGTTAGTAGGTTGTATTAAGCTTTGGTTTTTAGTGTCCCATGGCCTTGCCTGCTTTAGAAATCGATTTTCATTCATTTTGCAATCCGGTAACCATGCTTTAACCTCTTCATATGACAAAATATATTAAGTCTTTAAAAAGGCAAAATTGCTTATCTGCATCAGTCATTTATACAAAGTGCACAGACACACTGCGTAATGTCCATTTCAGCAAATCACAGAATGAGTGAGAGAAAATATGTATGTGTGAATATATATATATATATATATATATATATATACATATACATACATACACACACACACACCTCTCCGAGAGTTTGAAACAACACCGAACAAAAAGTAATAAAATTAAAGCAATATAAATTAATGTAACTTTGCAGGCCTGCCTGTATAACACAAGAAAAACTATATGAAACTTAAAAAAAAAAAACTATGACCCGTGAACAAACATATTGGAATGAATCCAGCGGTGCAAGGTCCAAAGAGTTATCACATGATGGATCAAATAAAAAATACAAAAAATCTGTTAACTGTTATGGCCTCAAAGGAATGGCTTCTAATAACAACAGTTAAGCGTAAAGTTGTAGTGAAAAGTACAGAAATACATCTGAAATACACCCACATTGTAACTCCATAGCAAGGCTTCGTGTTTGCTTTATACAGTGGGTTTTTCTACAAGAAACTTTAAATAATATGACCTTTGAATTATGACGTCAGCTATTATAAGGAGGCGAAACAAAATAAAACAATCACATTCTCTAGAAGCGCAGAAACCGCTTTGATGTTGCCCACCTCGGAAATGTCTGATGGGATTTGTGCCGAACCAAGACAGGCTAAAAACATTTATCCAGGCTTCTTTGCGTAGGACATTAGTGGGGATGTGAAATGCAAAATAAAAAAAATACTAGAGTTTGCCTTGACGAAGAATTAAAAGTAAAGAACTTACAGAATATTCTAGAATATATATATATATATATATATATATATATATATATATATATATGGTTGCTTCATTTACCCCTGTTCACAATCTATATCTGTAACAGAAAAAAGGGTATGTTTATCTACAACAGATGACCCTTGAGGGGGGGAAAAATGCTGAAGACAAAAGAAATCTATATTATTAGTAACTCCAGCCACAGGCGACGTCACAGAACAAACTCATTGCAAGAGAAAAAAACATTTCTAAATATCATTCAAGTTATCTCCTGACATTCAGCACCTTTCCACGACTGCGACTTGTCGTATTCTCTCGTGCCAATTTTCTCATCATTCCATGCCACTGGACCCTGTTTTCTGGCCAGTGCTGTGTGTTTTTCCCCTCCAGGGGCGGAGCAAAGGCGGGGCTTGTGCTCCCAATATCATTCATCCCAAACCCATTTATCTTTCTTCTTGGGGAAAGGTTTTTATCGCCTGCCACAATCTGTTTGGGTTTGTTAGCCTTTCCAGTGTCCAGCTGTTGGTTTCTCACATCAGTCGTTTTTTATCGAGTTATCCTATGTGATGTTTATGACATTTTTGTAAAATCACCAATGACACCCTGCAGAGATCATTTTATTTTAAAGCAATTCCGTTGAGGCCGTAGCTCTTCGGGTAAAGAGGAAGAAAAACGGCACATTCTTTGAAAACTAGTCCTTTTCTGTGTTGTTATGGATGAACCCACCATAGGAACACAAGACGTCGTAAAAACTGACAAGGGATGGAGTTTTAGGATTTGCAGCACTATTTAAATGCTGAGAATTCACCTAAAAGAGGGCACAAAGGACCGATTTGTATCAGTTTTCATCCTAATTAAAGCAATGCAAGTCAAAAAGGTAAAACAATGTTTGTGTACGGGTACTTGCCATAGCCACCAGCCTGAATGGGCGTCTTGGGGGAAGCGCAAGCGTACAGGCTGAAGTCCTCTGTCTGGAATCCAGCGCGGTTAAGGGACGGTTCAGAAGCGCTGCGGTGGATCTTGGGCAGAGAGTGTGCCAATAACTCAATAGAGGCCAGGATCTGCCATAAATAAATAATATATTAAAATAAATATATGTTAACTATATACATTATATATAATATGTAATATATATATTAAATGTTCTTCCCCCTGCTTTATTGAAAACATACCTTTCTGTGTACGGTTACAGCCATAATACATATCAATTTTACTACCACTACTACTATATATATATATATATTTTTTTTTTTTTGGATTTAAAAACAAATCAAACTAATTCAAAGTCAAAGCTGCATTCTGTTAATGCCACTCTGATGCCATCTTGTGGCAACATTCCTTAACATAAATCTGCATGGCCTTGACAAATGGCAGGCAAAATGGAGAAAGCAGACATTTGACAGGTGTTCACAAAATTACCTGAGGGAAAAGAGGTCTCTCCTCTCGCTTTTTCTTCAGACAATCTGCCATAAGTCTCTTCATGGCCTTGGGACAATTACTGCGCACTTTGCTCAGGTCAGGAGCCAGGTAACCCCGTCCAACCATGAAGATAATCTGGATAAGGAAAGATATGCACAATAATTTCTGCAATATACAGATACTGGCAGTAATTTTTCAGGGTACAGATCTGATTTAAGTCATATACATACTTTTTACTAGTACATTACACATATAGTCATCATCTGAATTATGTGATAGGTTCACCCAAAATACACTGCTAAGAGGTTCACCTGGTCTCTGTTGTTGATGTTAGAATAAGGTAGAGCCCCTGACATGAGCTCATAGAGCACAATACCAAACGCGTAGACATCTGACTGGAAACTGTATGGGTTTTTATCCTGCAGTCTGATTACCTCTGGAGCCTGAAGCAGACCAATGAGTCAGTCGAGATGCAAATGTCAGTACAGAAGAAACACTCAAATATAGTTAAGACATGTTCCTTCACTCACCATCCACAAGATAGAGCCAGAAAGCTGCTCAAACTGGTGTGAGCCACTCCAGCGGGATTTCACTGTAGCCAGACCGAAATCACCAATCTTTACTGTTAGGTCCTCATGCAAAAAGATATCTAGGGAGGTGGTGTTAAGGCTAAGAGCATGTGGATGCACACGTGTATCAATACCTACCTAAAAAAACGATCAATTTATTGATTTTTTATATTTCTCATAATAATCAATGTTTTACAAAGGATACTGTTACTCTTCAGATCTCTATGGATTATGGACTTGGCGTGTAGATAGCTGTGGGTAAAATGATTTACAAGTGTTAAATTCATGCATGATAACCTGAGCAATTGAGTATCATAATGTCAGCAGGTTTCACGCTTTCTATTCAAGCCAGAAGTCTAAATGGATTCTTTATTGTTAAACATTACATTGCTATAGTAATTTTTCTCTAAAAACTTTTGAGTGTCTCTCACTCCATGCCCTGAGCTGTCTGACGGGCAATGTCAATCAGCTTGATCATCTCAAACTTGGTCTCGATGATGTGCAGGTGGTGGTAGAGACTCGAGCCTTCACACCACTGTGTAACGATAGCCAGCTGGGGTTTGGTGGTGTAGCCCATGAAGAGCAGGATATTCACATGCCGGGTTTTCCTGTGGGAGAGAACGAATTTTCAGTAAGCTTTGACAGAACATGAGACTTAACATTTAATGACACAAAATCAAAGGTTTATAAATAAGTGACCTGGGTAATTTTCATTGTTTCAAAGTTTCATTGCTTAATTTCAAAAAGAATTGGCAGGACACTATCAATTAACAAGGATAGAAAACTCTTAATACAATAAAGTCAGTGGTCAGTGAAAGGATGTGCTTAGCCCTTATGATGATAAGTCAATCTTAGGAGGTCAAATTAAATATTATATGAGATTTCATTTTATTATCTTGTACTGTTTTATATTTAATTTAATGGTTTAATTGAATTATTTACATTTTTATAATTTAATATATAACATTTAATTTTTTCAACCTTGTAACCAACAATTGGGATCTTTTAAACCTCTTGATTATTTTCATCCAATAAAAATTAAATTAAATAAACAATGAGGTCAAATTTAATATTATATGAGATTTGTTTTCATTATATTATATTTAATATTAATAGTTTAATTTATGTGTTTTTGCAACCTGGTTACTAACAATTGGGATAGCTTAAAACCTTTTGGATTATTTTCTTCCAACAAAAATTAAATAAATAAAAAAGTTATAAATTAGTACAAATGTATGAATTAACAAATTAAATATTATGATATTTTATTATTTAATAGTTGATTTTTGCAACCCTGTTGCCAATAATTGGGGTAATTTAAACCCCTTTAGATTATTTATTTTCCAATAAAAATTTAATAAATAAATGTATAAAATAAAATAATAATAATAGACACTTGAAAAAAGCAATGGTATTGGGAATTTAAAAACAAAAAACTATACTGCTTAACCACTACCTAAAACCTACAGTTTGGACAGACACCATCTCTGTTTTGAAATCATGAGCAATTTTAGGCTTTATCTTACCGGAGGACACCCACTTCATTCTTAAAGGCCTGTAGCTGCTGTGGAGTGGGGGCTGTGACATTCAACATCTTTACCGCCACATCACCTATGAGGAAGAGGAAGACGCACATTTAGCCTGTTCTGTACATTCCTTTTTAATCTGAAGACCAAAACTCTTTCACAGGACCTACCGTGCCACTTCCCCTTGTAGACTGTTCCAAAAGAGCCAGATCCTATCCGCTGTCCCAGGGTGATCTGACCTTCTGGGATCTCCCAATCATCGCTTGAGTCCCGTCGACCCAGGGTTTTCTAAATATTAGACAAAATAAATGTCAAAAACCATCTCGAATGACCTTTGACCTAGACTATAAGTGCCAAGTTCAAGAGATCTTCACCATTTTATTGCGGTCCTCAGATGAAGACGATGGCTTCCGCTCTCTCGGTTGGCAGGGTGATTTCGACACCTTCACATTGGGCAGGGAACCAGGCAGGGAGGCAGGAGGTGTGGCCGACAGGCCTGTTGTGGAGCCTGGCATTACGAGAGGTTAAGAAACAAAATAAAGTTACTTCAACTGGAAATATGGGAGTCAAAGAAGAGAGAGACAGTAAGAGGGGAAGGAGACAGAAGGAAAAGAATAAAATCTTAGAGAGTCACACAGGAGAGAGAAAGAGAGGAAAGGGTTATGTCACAGCCCACGCAGTGTGAAATAAAGAACTGTGAGTGATGTATGCCTCTCTAATGAAGTATACTATCAAATCTCTTTCCCAATGGAAAAATCAAAAAGTACCCCAAAAATGTGTCACATATATCTGTATGCAAAAGTACTGTAAGTAAGGATTAAAACTAATAATTCTGGTCTGTACCAGTGTGTTATTGTTAACTAAACTTAATAAAATTGTTTTTATTAAAGGGGTCATATGATGCGATTTCAATTTTTCCTTTCTCTTTGGAGTGTTACAAGCTCTTGGTGCATAATGAAGATCTGTAAAGTTGCAAACATTAAAGTCTCAAAACCAAAGAGATATTCTTTATAAAAGTTCAGAGTTAACCATGCCTACCTAAAACGCTCATTCTAACACGCCCCCACATACCTACGTCACGATCTGGGAAGATTTGCATAACGCCACCCAAATGTTCACGCAAAGAAATAAGGCGTAACTTTTATTCTCGCTGTAGTATTGTTGCCGCTGCAGCCGTGTCGTGAAGGCGCTGTGTGCTTCATTGTGAAAGCGAAACTACTTTGTTTGGTCTTCCAAAAGAGGACGATATCCGCTTCGTCATGCCTAGAGCTGATCCGTGCTGGTCGCTGAGGAAATAGATCAACTTTCACCGTGGACAAAGCCAGCCCGCTCAGCTCACTCTATCCCAGCCTCAGCGCACGCTAAGCTGGGGCTTCCCCTCACGCTAGGCCGCTGTGTTTTTCGTTGCCACTGATGATTCAAATGCGAGTTTTGGGCAGTAGAGTAGCACTTGTTGTTTGTCATTTCTCTGATCACAAATTCAGACAAAGATTTATGTTTACGCGGCGCGATGCAATGCAACGCAATGTGTAAAAAGACAGTATAAGTCATTATAATCAGTAATTATGTCCCCACTGGATGCAACAAATGCCTTGTTTATAATGGGTTTTCATGTTTTTGTCTCGTCGCTCCGGCCGGGACACGGCATCAACAGTATGTGAGGGGCGTAACATTTCTGTCTCACGCTTGAGGTATTCGGCCAATCACAACGCATTGGATAGCTGGCCAATCACAGCACACCTCGCTTTTCAGCGATTTTGTAAAAATCGACACGTTTCAAAAAGGCGGGGCATAGAGGAGAAACAATAATGTACAGTATGTGGAAAATAATGTGTTTTTTTAACCTTAAACCGCATAAACACATTTCATTACACGAAATACACAAAATAATGTTCTTTTTAGCAGCATCATATGACCCCTTTAAGTGAAATAAAATAACTATTAGATGAAAATTGTGACCTTAAAATTTTTTTTTAAATTATGAAAATTAGAAATGTTGCCTTGACAACTAACTGACATAAAATAAGTGTAAGTACTGCAGTTACTAAAACTGAAAAAAAATTTTTTTAAATCGAAACACTAACTAAAATGACAAAAGCACATACAATTACTAAGTGTAAAAACTTACACTGAAAATGACAATTAAAGCGAATTCAAAATATTAATAATACTATAATATAAATATAAATAATATTTACATAATATAATTAGAAATGAGAAATAATCATAAAATAACACTGTCTGATACAATTAAGCCGATATTTTTTTACGTTATGGTCAATAACTATTAAATAGCAACATTCAATACTATTTTTTCTAAACTAATAATAATAATTATTATTATTATTATTATTATTATGCAGGATGCAAGTGAATTCAGGCATCACAATATGAATGAGTATTCATTTTGAGATTTACTAAAGATTCCTTTACTGTTATAAAATTATTTGTGTTTTTAAAGATGAACAGTGTTAGACAATGGCAAAATATGATCTGAATATAATATATATTCAATATACTAACTGAATTATTATCATTTAAAGGGGGGGGGGGGGGACTGTACGTCTGAAATATCTGAGTGACATATGTGCCATTTTTTGCCTTAGTGAGTTTGTAGTGTACTGAGGAGTTAAGGAAAAGTGACTGCAGCTCATCAAACGTCAGTGAAAACGTGGCAAAGAAAGTGAGAATTTAAGGAGTGAAATATGTCAACAAAACACACAAGGTGGAAGACAAACACAGACAGACAGACAAGCAAAAGACAAGACAATGTGTGGGACACAGCCACGCAAGAAGGCCAAGCTACCTCTGTATACTGGCTCAGGCTCAAAATCAAAGACAATGTCATTTGGGTGGGAGGACAGAAGGGGGCTTGAGGTCCGTGTTCGGTTCTTCCTCAAGCAGCGGGCTGGGTGTTGCGAGGGGGCTGCAGGGGGGAGAGAGACAGACACGGAATCACTGGCCCCCGAAGCTCAGGTGCACT